TATTATCATTAAATTATGTATGTACAAATACTACATATTAGGTATGTACAATAAATTTAGTATTATAGGCGTCTAATGATTTCTTTTTTACGTTACGATATATTATTATTAAATTAAAAATTCTAAATATTATTTTATAAAATATCAAAACAATCAAATAATTTTTTGTGTAAATGAAATTATTAAATTAATATTGTAGGTGGAAAACATGAAACACTATTAAAAAAAATTGAAACATAAATTACATAACTTTAAACAAAGTATCGATCCTTTTTATAAAAAGTATGGACACTTTCAATATAATATGTAAAAATATGATGTAATAGGTAGCGCTTATATAATGTAATAGGTATCGTTTATAATGTAATAGGTAGTGGTTATATTGTAAAGTATTTATCCTTTTTATAAAAGTGTCTATACTTTTTTCACTGTAGAAAACATTAATTTAAGATTATCTTTTGAGTGAGTTTTAAGATATTAATTTAGTAATTATAGACATCTAATGATTTCTTTTTTACGTTACGATATATATTATTATTAAATTAAAAATTCTAAATATTATTTTATAAAATATCAAAACAATCAAATAATTTTTTGTGTAAATGAAATTATTAAATTAATATTGTAGGTGGAAAACATGAAACACTATTAAAAAAAATTGAAACATAAATTACATAACTTTAAAAGAAGTATCGATTTTTTTTATAAAAGTATGGACACTTTCAATATAATAGGTAAAAAATATGATGTAATAGGTAGCGCTTATATAATGTAATAGGTATCGTTTATATAATGTAATAGGTAGTGGTTATATTGTAAAGTATTTATCCTTTTTATAAAAGTGTCTATACTTTTTTCACTGTGGAAAACATTAATTTAAGGTTATCTTTTGATTGAGTTTTAAGATATTAATTTAGTAATTATAGACGTCTAATGATTTCTTTTTTACGTTACGATATATATTATTATTAAATTAAAAATTCTAAATATTATTTTATAAAATATCAAAACAATCAAATAATTTTTTGTGCAAATGAAATTATTAAATTAATATTGTAGGTGGAAAACATGAAACATACTTAAAAAAAATTGAAACATAAATTACATAACTTTAAAAGAAGTATCGATCCTTTTTATAAAAAGTATAGACACTTTCAATATAATAGGTAAAAATATGATGTAATAGGTAGCGCTTATATAATGTAATAGATATCGTTTATATAATGTAATAGAAAGTGGTTATATTGTAAAGTATCTATCCTTTTTATAAAAGTGTCTATACTTTTTTCACTGTGGAAAATATTAATTTAAGGTTATCTTTTGATTGAGTTTTAAGATATTAATTTAGTAATTATAGGCGTCTAATGATTTATTTTTTACGTTACGATATATATTATTATTAAATTAAAAACAATAAACATATATATTACATATTTATTATTATCTTTGGTTAATATTGTTAAATTTAAACTCTAAATAATATTTTATAAAATATCAAAACAATCAAATAATTTTTTGTGCAAATGAAATTATTAAATTAATATTGTAGGTGGAAAACATGAAACACTATTAAAAAAATTGAAACATAAATTACACAACTTTAAAAAAAGTATCGATCATTTTTATAAAAAGTATGGACACTTTCAACATATTATAGTGTAACAGGTAAATTTGCAATGCTATCGGTATAAATATACCGGTTTACTTATAAAATAGATAAATATAAGCGCTACCTATTACATTATATAAGCGTTACCTAGTATGTTATTGTACTTTATAATATTTCCGATTAAATAATATAACATAACCGATTTAAATTTTAACCGGTCACTTATTTAACCGATTACACTGTATATTAGCCGTTTTTTAGACGCCGCATCACATAACTACCCGAATGAATGAGGAGGTTGAGCAATGAAAGAATAATTGGAAAATAAAATGGAATTTTGCATGGCGAGTGATGCGGTGTCTTCACGTAAGACGAGTGGCGAGGCACTCATCAGCTTCTAAGAAAAGAGAAAGCAAAGCATGTGGTGGTGTTTTCTTCTACTGCCTCGTAACTCGCAAAACCCACCCACTTACCTCCATTAATCAAACCTATATAATTTTAAGCACTATATTCACAATAAAATCATTTTAAGTAGGACACTAATTATCGTTAATTTTTTGAATTTTTGAGTTCGAATATCACAAATATAGTAGATGTAAACATTTCATATTAAATGATAAAAAATTATCTTTTAACATATATTATCTTATATTTATTTGAAATTAATAAAAATAATACATTGATAATAGAAATATAAAAGTTGTTCCACACGTAACTCACCGATGATTATTTAAATACCTAACCCACATGGTAATATAAATGAATAAAATGATTATTTATGTAATGGATACACCATCCAATGCGATCCCAAGAGGGTTCCCATATTCTTCTTCCAATAGAACCCATATGTATTTGACTATGTATTTGTGGCGTTTTATTATGCAAACGCCGCTAATTAAAATTGATTTTTCAAAGGTCATTCCTTGCTCTTTTATTACCCAAATTTAAAATTAAAGTTTACATTTTGAAATCTATATATCTATATTGAAATTCATAACAATAAACTTGAAATCCATAATAATAAATTAAAGTTTACATTAAAGTGAAATATAATGTAATGCAACATTATTAACTAGAATAAACAAAGCAAATATCTAAAATAACACCTAAGATGGTGAACTCTAGGGTTGATTTTGTCGATGCAAGAGTCTAAGGAAGAACTTATTGGCGAAGAGCAGGGGAAAGTGGACTTGATGAACTTTCCCGTTCCAGCGAAAGAAACTGAATGGATTAAGTTCTCTCTAACAGTCAATGATCTTGAAGAATAGAGGATTCAACCAAAAAACCAAGTATTTGGAGTAAAAATCATAACGTTAACCAAGTACACGTCAGCATTAGACTACCTTTAGCACATCAAGGGACAGCCAGACAGTAAATACAAATGAAAAGAGGATGTAGATAGTAAAACCTTGCAAACGAAGGTAAAAAAAAGATGAAATAAAAATATTAACTTTTACAAGTGTAGAACAAAACTAAAACTAAAAACACCAAGAGAGCTCAAAGACAATGAAATTTTAAACCAATTCCAGTAAGCGACTAAAATACACGAGTGACCAACGCAAATTTTACCCTTCCATTATGTACAACGTTTTCATGGGAACATTTTCCTCTGTGTTCCCCTTTATTTTCTTGAGAGTAAAAGAGACTAAAAAGAGTACCTAAATTTTGAGCCTTGAGGAGTGATTGACGGTGCGACAATGGTCACTGGAGGTGCGATGATGGTGACTGGTGGTGCGATGATGGTCATTGGCGTGTTGAGTTGGAGAAGATGTTGTACCAGAGAATAGACGAAGAAGTTTTAAAGAAGAGGTTCAAAAGATTTTAGGGATCGGGCAGGAGAAAGGCTGGAGATATATTTCCTCATTTGGCAACATTTTCACAAAACACGCCACTATACGCATTTATTGCGGCGTTTTTATAACAAACACCACTATTTATGCTTCTATTGTGGCGTGTGTATGAAAAACGCCACTATTGTACAAGTCTATCGCGGCGTTCCGTTAAATGCCACCAAAGATAGCCTTTATAGCGGCGTTTGTTACAGAAAGCGCCGCTATAAATTGGTCAATCCGACATTTTTTACATAAACACTTCCTCATTTGGCAACATTTTCACAAAACACGCCACTATACGCATTTATTGCGGCGTTTTTATAACAAACACCACTATTTATGCTTCTATTGTGGCGTGTGTATGAAAAACGCCACTATTGTACAAGTCTATCGCGGCGTTCCGTTAAATGCCACCAAAGATAGCCTTTATAGCGGCGTTTGTTACAGAAAGCGCCGCTATAAATTGGTCAATCCGACATTTTTTACATAAACACCACTAAAGTACGAGTTTGTAGCAACATTTGTTACACAAATGCCACTATATACCGGGCTATCACGACGTTTATTTTGCATAAACGCCACTAAAGTATGCATTTGAACACCACTATATATCTGGATATCATGGCATTTTTTACATAAACACCATTAAAGTATACGTTTGTAGCGGCGTTTCCACAAAAACACCACTATATATTTTGCTATCGCTGCGTTTTTTTACATAAATGCCACTAAAGTACGCGTTTGTAACGGCGTTTTCACAAAATGTATAATATATATCTGGCTATCGCGGTGTTTTTTACAAAAATGCCACTAAAGTACGCGTTTGTAGCGGTGTTTCCCATAAACACCACTAGATATTAGGATATCGCGACGTTTGTCTATAAACGCCGCTATATGTAAAATATTAACGACATTTTCTCTAAAAAACCGCTATAAATATGTTTTGTTGTAATGCAATATTGATTGATGCTCTCGCCGTTCACCCACACCTCGCCCTTCCCCATCGACCATAGGTTCAATGCCATTGGCTCATCCCCACTAGGTGCATCGAACCAAGTCTGTCAATCCAATTAAGATAATCTCACGTTTAATATTCGTATTTGGCTTAATATCAAAATAAGTGTTCAAACTATATCGTTTTTCACGAATAGGTGACTAAAGTACTTTTTGGACTCATCTCAATCTTAACGTTACAAATGTAATCATTTTAAGTGTCCGGGCTGTCAACGTTGTTAATTTTTCCCATTAAGCAACACGTGTCATAATTGGGTAATTTTAAAAATTTTATATAAAATTATATATGTTTAAAAAGAAAACACATAAATTTTGAAATAACCACAAAACTTTAAAAACATTCATTTTAACCCCTAAACCCATGCGACCACCATCTTTTGCCGTCGACGAAGTTCTACCCAATCTCACCTCCTCCAACGATCAAAACCCCTATGAAATCATGACTGGTCGACAACGAATCAACGTTTTATACCCCACAAACCTTGGAATGAAAATCGTGATCCCACATGATTCCAACGGTTAATCAACTACAACTACGACGACGTATGACTAGGAGGATAGCAGGGACTGTGTTGGCGGTGGTGGTCGTGGCCGGAAAGGGCGACTGCGGCGGATTAAGGTTAGGATTTGGGGATTTTAGGAATTTTGGAGCTTTTTATAATTTAAGAGAAATTATGACTTTTTAATAAATATCATAATATTTTTAATATTTTTTTTAAAAAAAATCAAAATCATAATATTGTGACACGTGTTATTTAACAGAAAAAATTAATATCGTTAACAGCTCAAAAACCTAAAATGATAATGTTTGAAACATAGATACCGAGATGAGCCAAAAAAATACTTTAGATACATACTCACCAGAAACGCTATAATTTAGTATTTAATTTGGTAGTAAGCCTTCGTGTTTTGATAATCGCAGGATAATCGCAGAGGCGGGAACTTCCAACGATCCAAGAATCCAAGAAAATGCTGTCACGGCATTGCTTAATCTTTCCATTTTCGATAACAATAAGACCTTAATAATGGAAGCTGGAGCTATCGACAACATTGTCGAAGTGTTGAAATTTGGAAAAACCATGGAGGCAAGAGAGAATGCAGCAGCAGCAATTTTTAGTTTGTCAATGATAGATGACTTCAAGGTAGCCATCGGAGCTCATGCTCGAGCAATTCTGGCTCTCGTTGGGCTCCTCAGAGAAGGAACAACTACCGGGAAAAGGGATGCTGCAACAGCATTATCCAACCTCGCACTTTACAGGGCCAACAAAGCGAATATCGTGGTTTCAGGGGCAGTTCCGTTGCTGATTGAATTGTTGGTGGATGACAAAGCAGGCATAACAGACGATGCCTTGGGAGTTTTGGCTCTACTTTTGAGTTGTCCTCAAGGGCTTGAAGATATAAAAAGTAGAGCTTTTGTGCCTCTTCTCATCGATCTCTTGAGATTCGGATCGGCCAAAGGGTAGGAAAACTCGATAACGCTTTTGCTGGGGCTGTGCAAAGACAGCGGAGAGGAAGTCGTGAGACGGATTTTGATAAATCCGCAAAGCATTCCTTCGCTCCAAAGCTTGGCTGCAAACGGATCTCTGAGAGCTCGAAGAAAGGCCAATGCACTACTTCGATTACTCAACAGGTGCTGCTCACGATCTCACAATCCTGTTGGATAACATGTCACAAACTTCTCAGAGTGAAAATTTTCGATTTCGGAGATGAACAACAGAGTGCAAAAGGAGAAAAATCTTACTATAAATGAATCTCAAAGCTATAGTTTGATTAAAATCACCTTGATTTTTCAAAGTTACCAACATTCTCAATAAAAGAACATGTAAGCAGATCGAAACAGAACACGAATTCGGATGAATATATGGATATAACTTTCATTGATAGAACTTTTACACCAATCGTTTACATTTTCCGTAGTGCTACTACGATAAGAAGAAGAATGTATGAGCACAGAACTAAGGCCGGGAATTTATAATTTTCTCGACAAATCGAATATTTATTATAACGAAACATCCTAGTATTGGAAAGGTTAAACTTATGTTCAACCAATTCGAACTAAAGTGGTCGAAGCTCAGCGTTCGTGAACAATGATTCACATAAAGCAGGGCCATGATTTTTACAACTCGACCAATTCAAGAAAAATGTGAGTGCCATTGATACTGTATTTCCAGAACCAGCTTCCACTATCCATCAGATTCTGTGGTATCGGATCCAACTGAACAGCAAAACCTGAAATCGTGTCGAAATTGAGATCATTCTATAAGCATAATGGCAAACTGGTTTGATTATATGATGGAAAACAATAGACTAAAACTATACTCAAGTTTCCGAAATCTACAGATGCTAGAATAGAAGTCGATGCATCGAATTAATAATAATTAGAGGTATAAAAACCTGGATTTCCGGAAGTAATCTTCAATTTGTAACCATCTGGAACTTCAAATACATGATTTCCCTGCATGAAAGAAAAGGTTATGAACAGATTTTTTACTCCGAAACCGGCCAGAGTACGAACAGACAAAACCGATTAATAAGGTACAAAAGAAACAGGTTAATTATTATCTGATATAACCTGTATGGTAACATCGTTGGCCTCAAACTCAGCGTTTCCATGTAATATGACCTTAAGTGCCTCAAAACGACGAACATCATGCTTCCAATAAACATTGTCTGGGGAAGTCCAGTCTATTCCCTCATTCAGCACATTAACGTTATGTAACTTGCATCTTCCACACCTGCATGGATGAACTCACTCTTGAACTCAATAATTGATTGCTATTGATATTTGAAGATTCACAAAAGCATGCAATACAAAACCTGTGCCCGTGTTGTAATATCGGTTCATCTTTGTCGTCAACCTTGGTCGACCCCATGATGTTTTCAGCTGCAATAATCATGCTCCCCTCGAGCTGAGGAAAACAGAAAAACTCTATCAGTGTAAAAGATAAATGATATAGCATGTATTAGTAAAACCATATATATACATATTACGGACCTGAACATTTCTCCATAAGAACTCTGCTACTTCGATTTGTAACTCCGAGCCCTTGGAGATAGAACCCCCATTAAACTGAGAAAACAAACAAATGTTATTATTCCATAAGGTTCACGGCTTAATGCTTAAGCTCCATTGCTGGAACTTGTAAGTTAATGATAATGTTACCAGAGATACAAAAGCCGGGATACACTTACTTTCTGCCTGGTGACCTCCCAAACTGGTCCGAGTGCAGGATGAAGAAAGATGAGAAATGGTGGTCCAGACTCTACGTACTTATCATTACTTTCAACCTGCATTAATGAAAGAACACAATAGCTCAATACACCGAATAGGATATTTGGAGTTAAAGATTGGTCGAAATTTTTTATTTAAACAAAGTAAATAAAAAATAGATATACCAAGTGCGACAATCCAAATCATTCAATTTAAACAGATTCCAGCAATATAGGAAATACCTCGGGAATATCAATATCACATTGCCAAAGAAGATCATAGGCATTCCGCATGATATCCAACAGTGAACCATCTGGAGTCTGCAAATGAAATCAGACTTAGTAGAGAAACCAAAATTAATTTCACTTAAAAACATTGTGTGTTTGAGCTCAGATCGAATGAAAGCAACTCCAGAAGGACAATTTTGTATCTGAAACAGTTTCATTCGATTATAGACCGAGGGTGTGAAAGAAGAATATTCGGAAAACCACCTGCTGAAGCGATGTGTCTGAAGGTTTTCTTTTCTTCTTAGCAGAGGACGTAACCCTTCTCCGTTCGTTATAAACAATAAAGGTATCCAGTTTATCTGTAGACACAAAGACACACACGTCGCCGTGATGTCAAAGAAATGGTATCGCATGATCGAAATGATAAATCATGGTTGAACTCAGCAAATATTGTACCTTCAACATCCTTGTAACATCTAGATGGATATGTACTAAGAAAATTATCGGCAATGTTCTGCATGGTGCACTCCAGCCTGCCACCAGGGACACTGCAATAAAAGAATCCTAGCGGCGTTACATGGTTTTGAATTAGAATACTAAAAGAGCTTGTAGGCATTTGAATTTTCTCTCTTCGAGTCCGTGTTGGTTATTCATTTGTTTATAAGGTTTCCCCTATTTGGTTAATAATTTTGAATATATGTTGAAGAGGAACACTATCCATATATAGCACTAGAACTAGCTATCTGAGTGAAAAGATACAAGCCAAATACCTGTGCCTGTTTCCGAAATAATCCGTATATACAATGGACTTCTTTGTATTAAAAACTATGCCGGGCAAACTCCATTCACTTCTTGCCGATCCAACAAACTCGGCAGAAGGTAAATCCACATAAAGAATGTTGGTATTGGCAGGGAACTCTGCCTGCAAACTAGACCCAAAACAAAAGATATTCCTGACTTTGTTGCTCGAGGTAAGAGTGTTTGAAAAACAAGCGAACATAGTAGTTTACCTGTTAGGTGAAGGATGTCCATTTGTGATTCCAAACTTATCGAATTCGGTGTATTCAATGCACGAAAGACCATATGCCCACTCCCCGTCCAGATTCTTCTTCTCGATTAGAACATTGATTCCTTCTGTAGCTCCAATGTTCCTTTTGCAGGATGCAAACCCCAGTTTCTGTTATACCCGGAGTCGGTACAATACAAGATTAGCAACACACCTTAGTTTATCGATGTTTCTTATATGAGCATACCTTTCCATGATGTAAACCAATCCCCGCCAATGCCAAGAGGGTCACATCTGTAGCAGCTACAACATTACTGCAAACGCACCAGTGCAATTCTCAAATTCAGCAACTGATACATATAGTTTCTGCCACAAATATGGTTCGGATATATAGTAAATATGCCTAACCTGACTTGCCGAACAGTAGCACCTTTCCTTCCGTGATCATAAAACCACTGAAAGATGCCTTTGTCATAAGCAAGTTTCCATATTACGCCGTGACCACCGGGTTTGCATACGGGCACAAATGGTTTTCTGACCAGCCATTGTCCATCTTCAGCATTTACAGCAGGGACTAGAGGCTGATAGATTTAGATGTTGAATTACGAATAAGAGCTGATATTAATTAATGGAATAAAAGAGAAAAAAGCAGGGATCTTCATAATTTTGAACTCCAAACCTGTTCAAAGAGTCGGAAACTCTCCCGGCCTCGTCCAAACCATCCAAGTCTTTCACAAAGCGAAGTAATATGCTCATGGTTGTTCTTAGCCGAACTCGTCATGATCGCAACCGGAGTGATGCATTGTTTACCATACAGCTTGAAATACAAGAACTCTCTAGCCTTGCAATTATGCAACAAAATGTAAACAACAAACATTGAGCCAGAAAAGAAAAAACAAAGCCATAAATGTAACATACCTGAAGATCCCTTATAAGACCTTCCAACAACGTCCTCCCACAATACAGAAGCATCGCAGCCGGAAGACATTCACCGGTTTCGGAATCAACAAAGCCGAGCCTATCAGCTGAACCTCCCAAAGGATACATTTCACCCAAGTCTGGCAAACCCTAAAACAGATCAAATCTTATTATTCAAGCTTAACTTGTACATAAACAAAGACACACTCCATTGACACTAACCTCAACCCCCCATAAAGCTGCTTGAGAAGCATATTCAGTGTTTGAAGAAAGGTCACATCCAGTAGGTGGATGAATCTCCAAAAACTCGCATTCCATTGATTCATGTGTCATTGTCTGAATTTGAAGTGAATTTTGGGCAAGGAGCTCAAGCACCGTTATCTGATATCTGTAACAAGGTAATATACTTAAAATTGTAGGCCATGGAACAAACTATGAAAGAAATTACAAAACTTACCCTATAATTCCACCAATGCAATCATAGAACTCCTCGATTTGTCCTAAAACCTTCAACAGGTTTTTGAAGTCTTCAGTTTCATCATGAACCAAAACACTGCCGTTTCCGTTTCGACCATTGCCTGAATCCCATTTCTCGATCATTTGGACCAACGAATAGAGTGCAGTCTTCACTGGACTTTTCAGTGAATTCTCTTGGAAACCGAAACCCATGTCGAGCACATGGTCTTGGCCAGCTGCAACCAAGCATCTGACAAGGAACAAGTCGTTTAAACTCAAACCGAGTGAACTCAAAAACCTTTTGCAACCCTGGGTTTTCAGAGAGTTCCTGACTTTGTCATCGGAATCGAGGACTTTGAGTTTCTGCTGGAGGGTTTTGGAATTGGAGAGCTTTAAACGGAGAGTTTTGAGGCGGGAGATTTCTTGGTGGAAATCGTTGGAGTCGGGAGCTGGTGGCGTGTACTCTAGAGGCGCAGTGGAAACGCGCGGTGTGATGGATGGGGGAGAAGAGGAGAGAGATTGGGAGAAGGAAAGAGGAGGAAAAGGGTGGAAAAGAGATGGTTTTTTGGAGTTAAAGGAGAAGATAAAATGGTTTGTTCTGTGATTGCTGTTAAGGAAGAGAAGTGAAGAAGAAGAAGAAGAAGAAGGAACTCTTGTTGTAGTGGTCGCCATTGATTACAATGGAAAGAAAGGGGAGGGGGAAGAGAAGAAAAGGGAGGAGGACAAGAAGAGGTACCGGAAGCATATACCGAGGATCATGCGGAGAGAAACAGGAAGTGTTAACCGTCAAAAACATATTGGTACGTGCCTTGTTTTGTCCGGAAGGATCTTATAACCTCGTCTCCTGTCCATCCAATTTCAGATTTCCATTGGTTCCCGTTCCTCTGATTTTGGATTGGTTTGCTTGGCCGCTGCACACTTCAGTTTTTGTTGCTTCAGTGTTGGGCTCTGTATTTGCTACCGTTGGGTTTTACTTTCTTTAGCGGTTGGATCTTCAGCCTCACTTGAACCAAATATTCTCAAATTATCGCATACTTTTGAAGAAGGCTTAAATATAAAATTAGTGTACTATCATTTTTCACAATGGGTGTTTAAAGTATTTTTAACTCATTTTAGTGCTTAAAATTACAAACATTATTATTTTAGGTACTTAGACTATTAATGAAATTAATTTTCTTCATTAAGTGATACATGCCACAATATGATAATTATAAAAAATTTATTTCAAATTAAAAAATTAGAATTATATATTTAAAAAACATAATTTTTTTTAAATAACCCCAAAACTTTGAAAATCTTCATTTCAACTCGATCTCACCTCCCCCGAAGACCAAAATGCTTATGAAATTATGAATGATCGACGGTGATTCGATATCTTATACGTTGTAAACCTAGGAAAAAATACAATCACACGCGATTCCAACGACCAATTGGCAATAATTACGGCGACGTATGACTAAGAGGATGACAGGGACTACATCGGCGGCGAATTAAGATTAAGATTTGAAGATTTTAGGGATTTTGAGACTTCTTTATAGTTGAAGAGAAATTAGTGTTTTTTTATAAATATAATAATATTTAAAAAAAATTCAAAATTAACAGAAGAAATTACGTCGTTAACGGTCTAGACGCCTAAAATGGTAACGTTTGTAACGTTAGACACCGGGATGAGTCAAAAAAATATTTTAGACACCTATTCGTGAAAAACAATATATTTTGGACACTTATTTTATATTTAAGCCTTTTAAAAATGAATATTTAAAATCTAAATTTTAAACATTCTAACCAAGTTTTTATATTTTTTAATGGAAAATATCAAATTAAATTTGACATAAAACATATACAAAATATGTATGTTTTTTTTACCCTCAAGTCTTAAGGTTTCGTCTTGACTAATTTGGATTGATATGGGTCGCACATCTAATTTTGGTGGGTCTCAGCGAGAATTTTCTATATACACAAAGATTAGAACCCGAGACTTTACTTAAGTGATATCAAATTGCTTACCACTTAAATCAACCCCATTATAACAAAAGAATCAAAACCAAAATAAAAACTTAATCCAAAAAAATTTAAGAGGGTAATAAGCCAACATGTATGGATAAGGCATTGTTAAGACAAAAGAATCAAAACCAAAATAAAAACTTAATCCATTTAGGCTCGAAAGACAAATCAATAGTGTGTTGGGGCGGGGAAATGAGCCGGTCGGAAAGCCAACGGCCCGGCAGCATAGATCACGACATCATAATCCTTCCTATACAGTCTCTTGCTCTCGTACCGCAGCGGCGAGCCGTAGAGCCCGTAGTTGACATTCGACATCATGTTGCAGCTCTCGAGAGGCGACCCAACGAGCTTTACGACGCATGATTGGAGAGGGTGGTCCAAGAGAGAGTGGCTCATTCAGAACCCCTCGAGCTCGGCGAAGAAGTAACCCTTGGCGTCCGTTTCAAACGCCGTATAGAAGCTCACTCGTCCCCTTTGGTTCCTGCAGACGACCCTAACTTTAGCTGACGCGATGGGCTCGGCTTTCGACAACGACCAAGACCCGTAGGTGTCGCAGCTTTGGCAGTACACCATCCCTTCGACGACTACCTCGGTTTTCTTCTCTTGCGGGACGGTTTCGTATGCGGTTAAGGCTAATGGGAGAAGCAACAATGATGAGATCAAAAGTGCTAGGTAAGTGGTAGCCATTTTTTAAGGGAAACTTTGGGGAAAACAAGGTTGTAATGTAAGAATTGTGGGATGGAGATGTACTTCATGAAATGGTATCATATATATGTATATATATAATATATATATATATATATATATATATATACGGTTTGAAGAATGTTTTGACACATTGATAGACGTGGAGGCTACTATGTTCCAACCATACTCAATATGCGTTTGTGTATTCGTTTACTTGAAGGCCACTTTTGAATTAACAATGACCTTGGAATAAAAAAAGGCAAAAAATCATCAATGGTCCCTGTATTTTTTTTAAAAAAAAATCAATGTAGCCTTTGAATTATTTTTCTCTCAATGTGACTCTTCAATTCAGAAAATAAGTTCAATGTGGCCCTTTGACTAATATTTTTCGTCGTTGACTGTTGTTGTACTGACGTGTCAGTTTACAGTGCTGATGTAATGGTCCACGATGTTGTTGTGACATCTTACGATGGTTGATAACGCGGCGAATAACATGACAGATGGGCTAAATTGGTAACTCCAATATGGCAAATGGACTATCACGTTAGTATCATAACGGTCAAACGACGAAAAACGTTAGTCAAAGGGTCACTTTAAATTTATTTTCTGAGTTGGAGGACCACATTAAGAGAACAAATAAAACGAGGGTTGTATTGATTATTTTTAAATACGGTTTAATTTGAACATTTTGATTTTTTTTAAATTATTTGAGTTAATTTAATTTTTTTTATTTAAAATTTGAATTTGAATAGAATATGAATTTATAAAATTAAATAGTCTAAAAACCGAAAATTAAAATGATGTCATTTTAACTTGGTTTAAGTATAAAATAAGTGTCTAAACAATATATGTTTTCACGAATATGTGCCTAAAATATTTTTTCGGTCCATTCAGGTACCTAACATTACAAATGTTACCACTTTAGGTGTCCAGGTCGTCAATAGTGTTAATTTCATCCGTTAAGTGACACATGTCACAATATGATGATTTTAAAATTTTTGTATAAAATTTTTAAAAATATATATATATTTTTTAAAAACTAAACACAGAAGTTTTGAAATAAACCCAAAACTTTGAAAATATTCATTTCAACCCCTAAACCCACATTGGCCACCGCCCTTTCCCGTCGGCGAAGCTCCACCCGACCTCACGTCCCCCCAACGATCAAAACTCCTATGAAATCGTGACCGATCAACAGTCGATTGGCGAAAAATTGATGTTTTATACCCTCGAACCCTAGGTTGAAAATCGCGATCCCACGCAATTTCTACCGCCCAATCGGTAGCAAACACGGCGACGTATGACTAGGAGAATGTCATGGACTACGTCGACGGTGGTGGTCGTGGTCGGAAAGGGCGGCAATGACGAATTAAGGTTAGGATTTGGAGATTTGTGGATTTGGGGGCTATTTTATAATTTAAGAGAAATTAAGTTTTTTTATAAATATAATAATATTATTATTATTTTAAAAAAATAAATTTTAAAACCACCAGATTGTGACACGTGTCACTTAACTGGGAAAATTAACTTCGTTGACAGCCAGAGCACTTAAATGGGTAATGTTTGTAACATTAGGCAGTTGAATGGATCGAAAAATACTTTAGGCACCTATTTGTGAAAATATGTATAGTTTGGGCACTTGTTTTATACTTAATCCTTTTAGTTTATAGCTTAGTGTTTTGATTGTTTTACGGTTTGGTCCATAATTTTATTGTTTTTTTCAATTACTTTATAGTTATAAGCTTTTTTTTTTGTCAATTTTAAAAGACATACTCATCAACCATTTTAGAATATCCATATAACTTCAATTTATATTAACAAATTTTATCTTTTTTTTTCAGTTTCATCCCTCAAGTTTTTATTTAATTTAATCCTCTAACTATAACTCTTTACAAATTCTTCTTTTCCACCAATTCTTTGATTCCTTCGTATTCGCATCGATACTTTATTCTCAAAATCTCTTCATTAAAAAAGAAAACTTGAATACAAGCATGAAAGAATGCAAAACTGTCAACAATCAATTCAACATTGGTAGAATGAATGTATTATGTAACAATGAACAAACAGAATAACAAGATTCTCCAGATTTTTGCTGGCTATCTCAAGTATATACATTACTACAGCAGAGTTTCCATTAGCCTATTAATAAATACAACCATTACTAGTTAAATACTTGGAGAGTTTTGCCTTCCTGTGGCCGTTCAGCGGATTAGTCTATGCTTAGACCGTTAAACGGATAAACAGATACCATTACCGACCTACATAAGATTAATAAAATGTTTATAATCTCGCCCCCTCTTAGCTTGCTTCAGCAGACATAATCTCAAGCTCAGCCCACCACAGAGGAGAAAGTTTTGGTGTTGCACCATCAGGTGTAATTGCAGTGATCTCTCTCAACCTAGTACTAACTTCTCTCATATTCGGTCTTCGTCCAGGTTCATGGTGAACACAAGCTTGTATGACCTCACCAATGTCCTCAACTTGCTTCTTGTCAAATGATTTTAGGGTAGGATCGATCATCTCCACGAGGGCTTGCTCGTTTCTCAAATATTGTGACGCCCAGTCATCAAGTGAACCATTGTCCACCATGTATGGCATCCTACCCGTGACCATTTCGAATAGTAATACACCAAAAGTGTAGACATTGCTTCCTAGTGTTGCTGGTGGGGTATCAGACAGGTTGGTGAAACATGGGTCTGAGATTTTGGCTGCATAGTCTTCTGTTAGAACAACAGCTGAGGATGAGATGTTTTTTTGCAGTGTCGGTGGGTTCAGCTGGTGCATGTGTTCAAGGCAGTAAGCCATCCCCATTATGATTCTCAACCTCGCCATCCAGTCCAAGTGCTCGGATTCTTGAACTGCAATATCAAGGCTACAATGTTTACAAACACCAAAGGAAAAGGTAAATGGCAAATGCCTGCAACCATTAGGCACTTACTGTGTAAATGCTCAAAGAGAGTGCCGTTAGGAGCGTATTCAAAGACCATCATCCTAGTAAAAGGCTTGGTTTCCTCGC